GTTCGTTGATCGAGAAAAGGTCAGAACGAGCTGTCTCGGCGAAGGCGTTAATTGACTTTAAACCACGATGGTTTACAGTGTCTAGGGCAAGAGGGGGTAGAGACGGGCGTCAGGAAGAACAGAGGGCGACTGGGGAGGGGGTGCGAAGTCAATTAGCATAGGCACGAAGTTTGCGGCTCCCAACGCGAAGCTGCCAGGTGACGGGGGTGATTCGAGGAAGAGCAAGGGTGCTTCTCCAACAGAGGATGGATGGGGTACGGGGTGAATCTATCGGAGAATGTTGCAGCCCGCGGCGCTTTGCGTCGCTGTCGATGACTTTAACACGGTCATCGCCCGGAATTTCAAATTTATCTTCGGTTGCTCAAAATATTTCCTTGGTAACTCATTTGATTTATGCACTTCTTCTTTTAAAATCTTGCTGCTTTTTTAGTCTTCTTAAAGGGGTGCATCGTTCGGTTCGACAACTTGAAATACTTAACTGAATAAACTTAACTGGTCACAATGTATGTGATGAATGTGGTGTTACATAATGATAGTGACAAATAATATTAGGTGTTAAGCTTGTCAGAATTTAGAGAATGACTAATGGAGAAACTTTGAAAGTATTCATGAGACCTATCAATTAAATTGTATTTCAACAAGGTACCTTCACATGGCAGGTTAAAAACAGTGTCAAATATAATGCAGTGTTTCGTGTATATTCTTAGAGGTATAACCTTACAGGTATTAAAGTATTTCAGTAATTCTAAGTACATCATTTTACTCAGACGTATAATCTGAGGATGTTATAGAAGATACAAGGATTGATTTTGACAATATTGTACAATTTACATGAACACCTTGTTATCCTCATAAATATACGTCTAACAGTGAAACTGCACTAAGCTTGTAAAAGTCTTGAACTTGCTAAATTTTCTTCTAAAAATGTTCCTATTTCCTAAACCCCCTCAGAATAATCTAAAATAGACCCTCTGTCCCGCACAATAATTTGAACTGGAAAGCCTATAACGCGCAGCAGGCAGAGCTCCCATAAACGCAGGGAAAAGATAGAATAAATTATCCCGAGCAAATCCCCCAAAGCGAAAGAGCAATACAATCACGACTCGGTAATAAAAAGAATCCGTAGTGTCCTGTCATCAGCGTGAGTCGGTACAATCCACGAGCTAAGCACGTCGAGCGCGCGAAGGAACACCGTCGTGAAAAGAACAACAGCGGCGAAGGGAGGAAAGATTGGTCGATTTCGAAGCGTTTGATGCTCGCGAGAAATGGTCGACATGTCTGCTAGTTGGGACAAGGAGAGAACGTAAAGCCGTGCAGGAAGCGAGCAGACAGAGTCAGAGGTCGAGCCGGGTCGTGGAAGACGGGAAAGAAGAGTGGGCCGTGTGGGTGGCGGGAGGTTTAAAGGAGGGGTAGAACCGAGGAGAAAGAGGGGCTCTGGAAGGTGGAGAAGCACGATGAAGGTTTTACGGCCGCGGTTATGCCCGCCGGTTTGCGCAATTTCGGTGTATCTGAATTGGCGGAGAAGTCGTATCTAAACGAGGCCGGATGAATCTGCACCCTCCCACTCGGATTCTCTCCAGGGGGCATGTCCCATAAAAACGTTGTAACGTCGGTTTCCAGCGGGGCAACGGGAATAAAGGGGACTGGGTTAAAGGATATTGTACGATTGTCGAGCTACAGAGACAACCCGGTAAATATTATGAAATATGTTTTTACTCGGTTTATGTGGCGGGCGAATAAAACGTGGAACGATTCTAATAATTTCAACCCTTATCGATATGGGTTAATTGCGAGGTTATATGCGCTACCTATGGTCAATTGTTTAGTACACAAAAATCAATACTGCGCGGAGAAATCGGAGATGTGTAAACATCTAATTAGTTCGGGAAACTAAACGTTAATCATGTAACATAAGCACACTCGGATCAATATACAAACTGTCGATGAAGCGCGGGAGCGTGAAGGTTAGGTCTACAGGCACTGGAGAGAACACCGATATAAAGAATCAGTCAAGTTACTTGTTTATTCTTTTACGTTCTTCTCATAATTTTTTATTATACAAATAGTCTGTGTACAAATATATTTAGGACACAATCTGTGTATCAATAGATTTGAATTTTGGCGCCACAGAGCTTCGTATGGCTTCCAATATGGCGGACCAATATTAACTTAAATTCTGAACTGAACAATTATATTGCAACCATAAAATCTTTCAACATCCTCCAAATTAATATTTTATAATAGAATTTTGAGAGAACAGAATGGTAAATGAACGAAAATCTGATAAATTAATGTAAATAAGTAAAAAGTTAATACGAATGGCATGTGCGAGCCGTGATTCGAAACCGTCGCAATTACCAAGACTAATGTGTTCAAAGGTTTTTGTACTCATACTTAATGTAATCTTTAGCAGCTCGAGGTTTCGTTAAATTTACCCAACGTATTAACGCGCAGATGTTTAGTTTCAACGGAAGTATTTACGCAAGAACGTGTTGAAACACAACACATGGCGACGGTTCGAGAGCCGAGGTTTCATCCTCGTCTAGTTTCCGGTGAAACTGCATCTCGTGTAAACGCCATCTTTATGCTGTAAGTGCAGAAATGTGTTTACACGAGGCCGGAAACGGACGTAAACCTCGGCAAAACGGTTAACTCATATTTCGTGCTCGGACTTTGTAAATCTCTGGTCGCAGAGGAAATTATGTCTAAGAAGATTACGTTGAAATGCGATCAAACTGTCTCTCGAAATAAATATTTCGTACAATAGGGAGATGTAATTATGAATATGAATTTTATACAAATATGTACTCTTCGAATAAAAAACAGGAACACGTAAATATCAAAGTTGAAATTAAGTCAAAGTTCCCAGCGAAAGTTAAACAGAATATATATTAAAATTTAACTTTCATTAAATTTTAACTTTGATATTTATTTATCGAAAGTTCAATAATATACACGCATTTTATGATAGCTCCGATAAAGTCGTATTTAGCGAAACAGAAGAGTAGGAAAAGCGCAATATTGTCCTTGATAAGAAACATTTCTATGAGTTTTAATATAAAACGAGACGAAACAAAGTTTAAGAGGTTAAAGTACAGGCTAATAAAGAAGTTGGAAAGTGCAGAATAGGAAGTTTGCGGAAAGTTGGACTAGCGACAGGAAAATCGAATTGCTTCGAAGTAAAATGTATCTTCGACGGGAACTTCTTATTTTTCGTTAGGAACGAAATGGGAGGAAGTTTGGAAGCCAGATAGAATTGAAGGATTTGGTAAGAGCAGTGAGCATCGACGGAGACGTGCCATTTGCAAGGATATATTTGCGCCTATGCACCAAATGTTTGTAAAGTGAAGTGAAAACTTGCGAACAAACACAATTTCCGGTTTCCTCTGCGATAACTCGAATAAACGTCGGATGTTACAAGGATTTTGCCTGATTTTAGGCGGATTTGGGGATTTAGGGATTTAGGGATTTAGGGATTTAGGGATCTAGGGATTTGGGGATTT